TTCCTGAAAAACATCATTTTGGACAGTTTTCTCCTCGAGCAGATCTTGAACAAGGAGAAGCTATTCTCAGATTTTAGGAAAAGGTCCTTCTAGAAGTGCTGAGTAGGGAGAAGACGTCAGGAGAGAACCCATCCCGAGCTAGAAACTGTGACAGGGAGGAGGAAGATCAGGGAAGAGAGCATTAATTTAGCAACTTACTTGATTCCTAGTCCATCCTTGTCCCGAAAAACCAGGGGAACCCTGAGAGCTTCTCTCTGTACGTACTCATAGTTAAAATCTGTTTGGATATTTGAATAAAAAAAAAAACAATTACTTGGTTAAATTATTGAGGAGCAAATGACCCACAACCCATTGGTGAGGAGAAAAACAATAAAGAAGGCATATACACTAGATATAGGTACCAGCTAGATGGAGAAAAAAAAAAACCTCCGGAGAAATAAAATAAGACGATAGATAAGGCAAAGCCAAGCAGTATCTTCCATCAGCTCTTCTGCCTTACTCATTCTCTGCATGCCCCACGGGTCCCAACTTGTCAATGAACAGCCCAAGGCCAGCCAGGGCTGGGGAGGAGATTTATCAAGAACTCTATACTGAAAACTCACCAGCTACTGTTGAGAAATAGGGACAGACAAACACATGCCAGGCTGAGTTGAGACCGAAAAAAACCTGCGAAACTAAAGCATGCTACCTGGGAGGATCTGAAGCCCCATAGAGACCAGGAGGAGGGTTCCCATTGTAGCTGAACATCAGTGAAAATCTTATTGTAATATCCTGCATAGTGAAGGGGAGGGGGGGAAAGCCGGTTTCCCTGGAAACTATGTATTTGGTGCCAAAATAACTAGAGAACCGGGCACAGCTTTGTTGTCTTCCTATAGTGAAATTCTGCTGGAGCCCATCATAATACTTGCTTCAACTGGATAACCAGGAGGGATGAGCTGGCGAACTGTAAAGACAGAGCACAGGAAGCCCCCACCCTCACGCACACACCCAAAAATTCACCAGTTTTCTATTTGCAGTTTGCATGGTACAGACTCCCACCCACAACATCCTATCCAAAGCCCCTCTGTCTTTGCCTGTTTCTTTCCTCCCTCAATGCCCAAACCAGTGTGGCTCTGACCGATCCATCTCCCTGATGATGGAGGTGAGGGGTGCTGAGACACACCCTCTTTCCTCCCCAAATCAGCTGACTAACTCAAGGCACCAAGAGCACAGGGTCCTCTCTCCCATCTGGTCAGAAAGGAGAAAGATCTAGAGTCCTAGAGTCCTGGAGCTAACTGAAGCCTCAGGGAAACAGTTCACCAGGGCAGCCTTGGGGGAGGAGGAGGCCAGAGCCACAGGCTCCGAAGAAGAGAGAAAGAACAAAACCCAGATCGGGGAAAGCCCTGACCCCAGAGGCTCCGATCCCCAGGGGCTCCCAGTGAATGGGGATTCCTCCGGATTTAAAGGAGGAGATGTTTGCGAAGCTTCTATTTTGAAGCCATGCTAAGGGTTCCCTCTGTATTTCAGCTCCTCCTTCCAGTTTGGGGGTCAGATCTGAATGAACAAGCAAACCCCCCAAGCCCTCTTCCTTTGAAAGGAGCCAGGACATCAGTGGAAGGATGCCCTTTAGAGTTCCCTAGATGGTAACCTTCCCAGCCCACACCCCCCCTCCACTCCCCGCCCACCCCCACAGTTTCAGCTTCCACAAATGGGCCTGAGAAAAAGCTCCCAAATCCTGGCCTGAGGATTCCTGACTAGGAAGAGTTTGCATACTGTTTTCTCATAGGTTCTGCCAAGCTCCGTAAAGCGGAGGAAGAAAAGGAGAATTAAAATCCTGTTTATACAGAGAAAATAAAAATGCAGTTGGGGGCTGGCACCCTGCTTTTGGGGCGAAATTTCTTGGGAAAGAAAAAAATATTTTTTTTTCTTCTTCCCTCCCCCCACTTCTCCCTAACTCCACCAGAGCCCCAGGAGGCGATGAGCACAAAAGAGAAACTTCAAAAATGCAAAGCCCGGACAGTCTCCTCCAGGGCTAACTCTAGGCCTCAAGCCACTCAACCAGAACCTGCGGGAGGGAGGCACTTCCCCTGCCCTCCGCTGGCTGAGAGGACAGGGGTTTCCAAGGGGGATGGGGAAAACACAAAATGGAAAATGAGTAATTGAAGGGAAACTTTTTAAAAAAAAAAAAAAAAATCCATACACCCTAGGAAGGCTTGGGCAAGCAAGAGCTGCTTCCCACAGCCAAGAAAGGTTCTGGGACCAGGGTCCACATAGGACCCCCAGGATGCTGGCTGGGGAGGTTCAGGGCTCCTAAAGCCTCCCCTCAAACAGGAGCATCATGAGGCACACATCTAAGAAACGCTCCCGGCCATACTGTCAGTAGGAGAGCCTGGGAGAAACCCACAGCCAGGAGGTCCCTCCAAAACCGGAGCTTGCCCAACCAACTTCTGCTCTACCCAGGGAAGGCTAAGAGCAAACAGCGCTCTCCTCTCAGGCATGGGAAAAGACCCTGTTTCCAGAGAGGTACCTAAGTCTTCCATTCAAACTGCCAAGGGGCAGAGATTTTTATCTCTAGGCCTGATGGGATAATTCATCACATTTATAACCTAGACCCCACAATTCAGACCGACTCTCACGGTTAGAGCGCTAGAGGCCTCAAGCTTGGGAATGAGGGAGGGTGTAGTGCCAACAACTCCCAACAGCCCACCTGGTCCCTTCTCCAATCCCGCAGGGCAGGGCGCAGGGAGGAAAGGCGCTACCGACCCCAAGGCTCAGACCGAAGCCTCGAAGGGGCGTAACCCCGACCGAAGGTGCTGCTACCTCCAGTCCCGAAGCCCGTTCCAGTTCATAACCCTCGGGGTCCAGGATGACAGGGGTTTGTATGGGTGGCTTCAAGCATACAGCCCTCACCCCGATGTCCCAAGGACATCGAGAAGGCTCCTGCCAGGCACTGCACCTCTCGCAGGGAGCGCAACCGGCTTGGGAGAGGAAGGATGCTGCGCTCACGTCCTCCCTCAGTCCCAGTATCTGTCCCAGGGTCCCCCTCAATCGGCTAGCCCCTTGGCAATGACCACCCTAGTGTTAGTGATGGGTACAATCAGGGCCTAGGCCCACGTCAGGCCCAGCCTTCTTCCTGCCTGCCCTCCTCCCTTACCACCCCCCCACCCCCAGTGCTCCATCTCGTTTCGTCACCGGATCCCCTGGAATGGGGGACGCGGGCGCGAAATACGAACCCAGCCACAGGCAGCTCCCTCCCCACGTGCGCGCTGGCCCTCTGCACAGAGTGCAGCCCGGAGAGGGGGGCGCCTCACCTTTGCCCTCCATGGCATGCACGAAGTCCCCCTGGTAGAGCTGGCTACGGAGCTTCTCCTCCAGGCTGAAGCCACGGACGCTGACGATTTCCTCCACGTCCGACAAGTCCTCGTTTTCGTCGTATCTCTGGCGGTCAATCGCACGCTGCGGGGACCCAACCAGAGAACCCGGGACATTACTGAGAGGACTTGGGGGGGTCTCCTCTCACCCTGGGCCCACCACAAACAGGTGCAAGAGCCGCGCGTCCACTGCACCCCAGCACTGCAATCCGAGCAACTTTGCGCAAATGCCAAAAGATGCTGAAAAGCAGAAAAAGGGGGCTCACACCCCCAAGGCCCAGCTGTCTGTACACGAAGCACGAAGCACTCCCTTCCTGCATCGTTTGAAGCCGTGGAAATGCTATTTGGGGGCTTTCCTTGGCCCCCACCCCAGTGATGTCCCGAGCTTTGCCCGCTCCACGGGGAGCCTGGTTATGTAACCCCTGAAGGGGGCTCGGGGCATGAGCTGGCGGGGCAGATGTAGGCCCCGAGAGAAGCCGCTGCAGCGCCCGGCTCTGCGGTAACAGCAGCCCCGGCGGCCACAGCGGCCAACCCGGGAAGCCGGAACCCGGGGCCGGCGGCATTTCTAAGGCTGGAGCCGCTCCGGAGGCGCTGGAAAGCTGGAAAGCTGAAAACGGAAGGGTTGAGACCCTAGCCGCCCCCGCCGACCGACCGCTAGTGCAAGAGGAGGAGGAGAGGGGGGAAGGTTAAGAGCTTGGGGAGAGAGAGAGAGAGAGAGGCAGCTGGCCCACCACAAAGCTTCCATCAGAGACCCCAAAACGCACCAGCAGCTGCCTCATCTCCCCACGAGCGCGCGCGCACACTCACTTCCTAAGGAGTCTCCCCCACCACTCCCCGCATCCCTCTTCCTCCTCCCTCCGCCGCCCAGCACCGAGCCCCGCAGCCCCCCAGATCCCGGGCGAACCCCGGAGCCCGCTCAGCCCCCTCCACGCCTTTCGGCGCTACCTCCTCCCCACATAAGTGTCTGAGACCCTGAGCCTCACAAGAGACTGGAGGAGTAAGCTGCTTGCTTCCTTTTGCATGCAATTTATTATTTTTTTTCCGGTCCTCTTGCAAAATACAGAAAAGGAAAGGAAAGGCAGCAAAGAAACAACCAAAATAAATAAATCGATCATATATCAGATACAGATTTGGGGAAAAAAAAAAAAGCTACACACCAATCTTCTTCCAGAGTCTTTCTCTGCCTCCATTTTTTTAGGAGAGTTCACCAATTAATTGTCAACACTCCTGCCCCCTGCATTTTGGCGGAGGGGGGGGAAGGAGGGAAGACAAGAAAAGAAACCAAAAAATAAATAAATAGAGCAAGCCAGAGCCGATATCTACAAAGTTTTGCACCAACACTTAAGCAGATCCGTTTGCAAAGTCCTAGGAAACCATTTTCAGCAGTTGTGTGGGGGGGGAGGCGTCGACGTCATAATCCCCGGAACGTAAACATTGTTGCAGATCGCGCTCGGAGCTCGCGGCGGGGCTAGTTGGGGAGAAGGGGGGCTCGGGTTGGGGGTGTCGGGGACCACAGCCGTAGGAGGTGTGGGGCCAGAAGGGAGCCTGGGACGCACCCGGCGCCGTTAGCGCCTTGGCTTCGCTGTTTTGTTGTTGGGTCACGAGTGCGCCTCTGCACGCAGGCGCCGCCGCCGCCCGGGAGCTGACTTTTGGAGGGCTGAGTTGCAGGCGGCGGGCGCATCCCAGAGATGGCGGGGCAGGGAGGGAGGGAAAGGGAGGAGGGGGGTGGGGAGGGAGGTGCAGATTTGCACGGATGGCCTCAGCGGGAGGCACGGAAATGCTAGCCGAGCCTGCTGGCGTGAAAGCCCCCGGGGCCTGGCACCCCCCAAAACGACCCCCCACCTCTGCCCCTGCCCCCTTACTCGGATTACCCACGGCTGCCCCTCTCTTCCTGAGTCTACCCCTCCTCATTACCTGTGCTGGCGACCTAAATTCAAAGTGTTTTGTACGTATAATTTCTTTTTTCTGTGTTGGCTTTCCTACTGCATGCCTTGGGGGGAGGGGCCAGCTTGCCCAGACCCCTATCCATTTGCGAACCTGCCATATGGAGGAGGCATCTGAGGGGCTCAGGAAGAAATTAGTGCAGCTCTGTATCTGTAGAGACTGCCTAACTTTTAAGCTCCCGAGACTGAAATAATAACACACACGCACAGGTACAGGAAATACAGCCAGTCTACAGCCTTTTCAGACTGCAGCTGACCGGAAGACGGCCTTTCATTCATTCATTCGGACAGCCTGGCTGGAAGAGCTCTGAAATAAGTTGGGCGAGAAAAAAAAGAAAAAAAAAAAAGTCTCTACACTCGCCGAGAAGAGATAAATCGATACACCGGAGGGGAAGAGAATCGGAGTCAGCGTCTCTAATGCCGCTCACAAGCAGGCGAAAGGTAAGCTCCTTGTGTGGCAATTAACCAGTAAAGTGGGGGTGTTCGTGACTTTCTGAGATAGCACACCTAGATTAATCCATATTGTTTCTCAGCAGAGGTAGGGGCACCCTCTGAATATGTACAGAGTATCAGATCCCCTGATGCTCCTCTGTCCCCTTGAGTAGTGCAGAATTGGTCCTGAGTGATCCTGTAATTCCAAAATGGACAAATCAGGTCCATTTTAGCTATGAGAAAAGCTGGCCCTAAACTCAGTTCCCACCCAGCCTCTTGTGCCCTGCTAGGCCTAATGACAGCACCAGGGATACTCTGAGAGATCGCTGCGATGGCCAATGGCAGCTTCTTGCCCAGTGCACAAGTTAAAGCCGGTCAGTCTGCACATTGGGAAACCTAGCTTCAAGAAATGATGAATCTGGGTGGTTGCTGCTCTTCGTATCCTGCCCCAGTGTCTACAAGCGCTAGCTCAGACAGATGTGGGGAGGAAGTGGCCTTGCCACCTGAGATCAGCTGTGAGCCACAACTCAGAACTGGTCACCCTAAGAGATAATATGCTCCTCCCTCCCTCACGTTAGAATTTCCTACCCTATCGGGCTGTCCTTTTTTCTGCCTGTCCCCAAAGCTACCCTTTGAAGCTTGTTTTAATTCCATCGATACAGGTTAACGGTAGAAATCTTTTACATTCGGATGAGGCAATAAACATCAAACTTTGTCAAACTGAAATCACATCTACATTGGTTCAGCTTTCAGCTGCATCCAGGAGGCAGGCTTTCTAGCCACCCCTCTGTTGAAAACCAGGGACCAGCTGGGATGTAGTTCAGTGGTGGAATATTGGGCCTAGCAACCATCAGGTCCTGGGTTCCATACTCAACACCAAAAAAAAAAAAAAAAAAAAAAAAAGAACATAGATCATTTTATTTGCCTCTTGTAAGAAAATGTTTTAAAGCAAAGGTCTTGTTGCCTTGTAACTCTGTTTTGTAAACCAAGAGGCTGGGATCAGGAAGGCAAAACCATTCACCCACGATCACACAGCCTGCCCTTTTCAAACATTCACCAGCTTCATTTATGCTTCAAAATGAAATAGACCTGGCTTAAAGGAGAGGCTTGGGTTGAGAATCAGTGCAAGCGTAAAGCAAAACTGTTGAATAGGACACTTGAGAGCCCCCTCCATCTCCCTCCCTGAGCCTCTCCTCTCTCCCCCTGTGGCTTCCTGGAGTCCCCGTAACCCCCCCCCCAAATGCTGGCACTAGGAAAAAGTCTCATGTTAGCCACCTTGGTATAAAAGCAGTTAAGTCCATCTATCACATCCATGGGGAGTTCTGGCTTGTCCAGAGTGGGATGGGGTTGTTGACTAGTCACCTGATTTAATCCCCTCCCTTTACAAACCTCAGCTCTAGGAGAAGAATGGGCCAGGCGGCAGTTTGTTCCCCTTTGACTCCCCCAGAATGCCCACCCCTCTGCTGGGTCCCAGTGGTCACTCAATAAACGTTGGGCCCTTGATGGATCACCTTCTGCAACATATTTGCATTTTCTCTTTATCAGTAATTGGCAGATGAAAGGCTCTGTCCTCGCTTGAAAGAATTCCAAGCATTCGCTCCAAGTGGGGGAGGAGGTTATTTTGGACCAAAGGGGGAAGGGCCAGACCCTGGAGCTGTAACTTTGGCTGATTGTCCCGCAGGAGCTTGGACTAGGTGAAGGGAGAGAAAAGATGCACTTTTAATGAAGGAAAACACCCAAGTCAGCCCCACTGGAAACAAAGTAACAGTGACTTCCTGTACCTCCCTGCTTGGTCTGGGTAAAAGGCTCCGTGAGATCCTACCTGTCTGTGTTATACTGGTTCGATTGTTTCATCCATCCTCACAAGCTAGCTAAGCAGCTCAGTGTCCAAAGACAGACAGACAGACAGACACACACACACACACACACACACACACACACACACACACACACACACACACACACACACACAGTGGGCTGGCTGAGAGTAGACCAACCGCTTAACAAGATGATGACTGATGCCGGATAGAGCCCTCAGAAGCCAGGGTTTCTGGACTGGGAAAAAAGTTACCATGCCGTTACACTAGCTCTTGGCTTTCCTCTTTGTAAGGCAGGTTCTTAACCTAGCCCTAGCTAGCCTAGAACCCGCTGTGTAAACCAGGCTGGTCTCCAACTCTGCAAGAGCCTCTTGCCTCTGTCTCCCGAGTCTTGGGACTATCGCAGCTCCTCGCTCCAGGCTTTGAAGAATTTACAGTGCGCAAATCCCTTGATATCAACCATCTCTTTAAATCTTTGCCAGTTTCTTACCCTTTATAGCTAAGGCTCAAAGAAATGCTAAGTTATTTAACCACAATGATACCATGGTTACAGGATTCGAACCGAGAGCTTGGAGGAATGCAGGATCCATGTGCCTGGCCACTGTGCAAGCCTGCCTGTGGGATTATGACATAGAACAGATAGGAATATTATATATACCTATGCTGTCGATTACAGTTGCCCCTCATGTGTGTGCACGCGCAAGGGATGGAACCCAGCGACTCCAGAATTATAACCAAGAACTCACTCTACTATTAAAATAAACTTGTAGCGGAAATACTCAGACTTAAGCTGGGCATGGTAGTGCATGCCTGGGCAACATAATGAAAACTTGTCTCAAAAATAAAAAATGGGGCAACGGTGGCACACGCCTTTAATCCCAGCACTCGGGAGGCGGAGGCAAGTGAATCTCTCTGAGTTCGAGGCCAGCCTGGTCTACAGAGTGAGTTCCAGGACAGGCTCCAAACACTACACAGAGTCTCTGTCTTGAAAAACCAAATAAATAAAAAATGAATGGGCTAGGGTATAGCTCAGTGATACAGCGCTTGCCTAGCATCATATGCAAGGGCCTGGATCCAATCCCAGAGCTGCAAGCAAATAGAAAACTTAAAACAATGAAGCCTTGGGGTATTTCCCACTATTGCTCTTAAAAGTACCACCAGGCTATTTATGCATGAGTCAAGGTCCGGTTTGGCTTAGCATCTCCGTAATCCACTATCCCAAAACATTAACTGAATGTATACAGAGCCAAGGAGGCCAAGTTTTCAGCAAAGGTTGTATGGAAGAGCACATATGGGACAATGTAAATTCTACAGCCCTAGGCTTCAAAGTACTGGCTCCCAATGCCTGTGAGCCTCACTGGGTACCAGTTGGATAGGATTGGCCCACCTGCCCACATCTTAAAAATAACTTTTAAAAGGATGATATACATCCTATGGATAGACTCAGGGACCATATACTATAACTCAAAGCCTGAACAAGGCATGGTAGCATATTTCTTTTAATCTCAGCATTTGAGAGGCTCAGGTGGGTGTGTGGGTGTGTGTGAAGAATTCCAGGCCAATCATAATTAGATCCTATCAAAAACACACAAAAATTAAATCAAGATGCTGGATTTGATCTTCAGCATTGAAAAAGGAGAATATATGCTTACATGGAATGACCTGATGATATCCTTGAATAAAAACAAGATAGAGAATACTAAATTTTGATCGCTACTTGGGTAAACCAAAGATGATTTATCTACAGGTCTATACTTAAAAAAAATATTTTGGGGGGGGGCAGGGTTTCATTGTGTAGCCCTGGATGTCTCTGTAAATCAGGCTGACCTCCAGCTCACAGAGAACCACCTGCCTCTGCCTCCTAAGAACTTGGATTAAAAGCATGCGCCACCACTGCTTGACTAACCTTAACCATTTATATGCTTTGAATTTTCTTTGGAAAGACACACTAATGGGGAAAAAGAAACATGAGAAGTTATTCTGTGATACACTGTGAAACTTTAGCCATGTGTACATCTGAATATTGCCTGGTTCAGATCTGAGGGATTTAATTTCGTTCTATATGCTATAGCGCCTTTTCAGCTCTGTACCATGGAGATGTGAAACCTACTCAGAAATGAATGAATTCCAGGTTAGTGGTATCGCTCAGGAATGGAGCTCATGCCAGCGTGTAGAGGCTCTGGGTTCAATGCACAGCATGCTAGGGGACTGGGCGGGGGTGGGGGTGATGTGAGGGGGGCATAAATAGAAATTAAAATACAGTAAAAGCTTGTGTGTGCAAGGCCCAGCACTAACAAATCTTAGACAAGTTTTTGTTCTATTAAAATACACTTTGTTTTAATCTACCAGCAGACCAAGCTGTTTCTGTTCAAGTGATTGTTTATTTTGTGTTTTAAAAGTCCCTTGTGGATTAAACTCAAAAAGGAAAAACAAAACTGTCCAGAGACTTTCAGACCTGGCCCTGGGGGGAAGAGTTTAACGTTCTACACAGAATCCTGCTCTTCAGCCTGTCTCTTCCTGTCTAAGGATGTGCTGTGATGATCAGCAAGGATGGGAAGAACCCCTGAGACCACAGATGAGTTAAAGGGTTAACGCTGGGAAGAGAGTCATAAAAGTTCAAAGATTCTTTCAAAACTTACATCTTGGGGTTGATGGACATGTATGGTAGCCAATGGAAACGAAAGGGCAGGCATTACTTCATCATGCTCAGCTGTCACTGGTTGACAGTCTCTAAGGGATGGACCAGAAGGCTGGCAGTTAACCCTTGAGGGCCTACCGTGCCCTTTGCATTACTTTTACTTTGCAAGATGAAGCAGAAACAGAAGGGCCTCCCAAAGCCTTCCCACCCTCGGGTGCTGTCGTTGGGTCCAGCCCCTGGAGACAGGATCTCTCCTACCACCGGAACACCAGGGGACAGATGGCCTGGATGAAAGTTTTGAACTTTTTTAAAGACAAGGAATCAGCTGACCTCGCTGAGTAGGAGGCCCGGGGGAGAAGTTTGGTTCACTTTGTGCGCTGTCAGAACACAGACCCATGGTGGAGACATTTCCATTCATCTTGTAAAGTGATCAGTCACTGGAAGGATTGAATAGCATTTCCTGCCCCGAAGATGTGGAGACAGATGACCTTTGCAGCAGCCCTCAGACCCCCAGTTCACAGCTGGAGAGAGGATGTCAGCCTTTACTTTCCAGGCTCACCCAGCCCTTTGTTCAGAACTCAGACCCTTTGTGCAGCTCAGGCTGCTGCAGGGGATTTTGTAGTTGTTGATGCAGGTTCCCCCCCCCCCACACACACACACACACACTAACCTCCCACTTCTTGCAGCTTCTGAGAAACAAACTGTTTGGCAGAAGATGGTATCTTAAGAGCTGCCCCAGAGGGAGACCCAGAATAGACGTGGGGAATTTTGAGAGGCCACTTGGCCTTCTGGCAATAACCATTGCCCTTTCCTGGGTTTCCTGACTCCTACAGGCTGAACTAGAGAGAGCCAGAAGTCCAACCAATTCCTAATGCCTTGTGTTTAGGTGGCTCTATTAAAAAAAAAAAGAAGAAAACGAGGCTTTTATGCATATTATCTCAAGTGGAAGGCACCTGCTAGAACGAAACCATTTACATAAAGGAACAATGTAAACCTCGAGACAGTACATCAAGATAAAAGACGCTGGACAGTCTGCTGCCTCCCCTGTAAAATGGAGGTTGTAAGAAGAAACATGCTCTAGTCACAGGGGTACTGTACGAGCCAGTGTTAGGAAAGGGCTGATCCAGTGATGCTGTTCCAATGAAGCTGGCGTTCTGGGCACCGTTACCCTGACAGTTTGCCTTCTTCCAAGGTTAAGGTTCAGGGGGAGACTGATGTGGAGGATGGAGTAGCTCTTTGCTCTAGGTATTTTGAGTCCCTTGACTAGACATCCTTGCCCGCCACACCCCCCACCCCCACCCCGCCTTTGCACCTGCGGGTCCCTCCCCCTCTGCATGTGTCCTCCTGATAGCTGCCACCTCGCTAACATCCTTCTAGAAGATGCTTGGGGATCTTATTTCCTGCCACCTTCTCATGCTCAGCACATTCGATCGTCCTGAGGTTTCCTCGGGGAATCAGACACGCAGGACTCCAGACAGCAAAATGCAAGGATACTCAAGTCCTATAACAGTGGTGTTTATGGGCTGGAGAGATGGCTTAGCGGTTATGAGCACTGGCTGTTCTTCCAAGGGTCCTGAGTTCAATTCCCAGCAACCACATGGTGGCTCACAACCATGTGTAGTAAGATCTGGTGCCCTCTTCTGGCCTGCAGGCAGATGTACAGACAGAGTGCTGTATATACATAATAAATAAAATATTAAAAAACAAGAAAACAGTGGTGTTTACTTAGAACCTCCACCACCCCCCCCCCATCCTCCTGGTATTCTTTGAATTATTTCAAGATTATTTTGTAGACCCAATACTTAATTGCTGGGTAAATGGGTGTTACAGTATAGTTGTGTTGCTTAGGGAATAATGACCAAGCAGAAAAGATGGGGTGGTGGAGGGAAAACATTGAAATTCAGTATGGACTTTTTTTCCTCCCGTGCTGGTTAAAAAGTATCTGTTTTGCCGTTGTGATTAAACATTTTAAAATGGGGCCAAAGGGATGGTTCCTACTGCCAAGCCTGACAACCTGGGTTCCATCTGGGTCCTACTCCTTAAAGTTGCCCTGACCTTCCAGAGCGTGCACGCACGCACGCACGCGCACCTGTTCATAAAAGATTAAAATGTGGTTTTTAAAAAAAATTCAGTCTGTGAGCTAGGTGTCATGGCACATGCCTATAATGCCAGCACTTGAGAGGCTGAGGCAGAGCCAGGAGTGGGGGGCGCACGCCTTTTATCCCAGCACTCCTGAGGCAGGGGCGGGCGGGTGGCTCCTCTGAGTTCGAGGTCAGTCTGGGCTACATAGTAAGACCATGTTTTGAAAAAAACAAATGTGCGCACGCACAATAGTTTACGGCTAGCTTGGGCTACATAGCAAAACCTTGTGCCAAAAAACTTGGAAAAGAAAATCGATCTCTGGAATCTAACTGAAAGCGATGTAATTAATTCAGAGATACGACTTGAAAACGCTGGCTGAGAAGTCCTGTCTTTATGGTTTAGCAGCTGTGCAGACCGGAACCACTGTCGGACCTTCCTGGGACTCAGGAGGTCGTAAGAGAAACTGTCTGGTAACCAACAACCATGGATGAGATACTAAAGCACTCCCAGAGTGCCGGGCACACATTCAGCACTCAACAAACACGGGTCATCATTATTCATTACCGTAAAACTCCCAACTAGCAGGGACCTGGGAGTCCAACACGGAGTTGCTAAGCACCTAAAACACATCATAGCCCAGCACACTCCGTTAATGCTTATTAGCCTGAATCTATAATTGAGGAGAGAGACCATGTCCATACTGTTATCTTTTTTGGTTTTGTTTGTTTGTGTTTTCAAGACAGGGTTTCTCTGTGTCGCTTTGGTGCCTGTCCTGGATCTTGCTCTGTAGACTAGGCTGGCCTCGAACTCACAGAGATCCGCCTGGCTCTGCCTCCCGAGTGCTGAGATTAAAGGCATGTGCCACCATGGCCGGGCCCATAATGTTATCTCGACCCCAGTAGATGTTTTTTGGTTTTTTACCCCCTTCACTGTTAGGTATAGAACCCAAGGCAAGCTCCACCACTGATCCCAATCTTAGTAAAGTCTAGTGACGACAACGTGTGAGTGGCTAGACAGACGACTCAGTGGTTAAGGGGACTTGTTGCTCTTGTACAGGACTGAGGTTTGGCTCCCAGGACGCACACCACAGCTCATGGTCATTTCTCCCTTTCCATGGAATCCAACACTCGCTTATCCACAGGGCACCAGGCACACACATGGTGGCTCACACCTTCAGTCCTAGCACTCTGGAGGCGGAGGCAGGTGGATCGCTGTGACTTTGAGGCCTCCTTGATCTATGTAGCAAGTCCCAGGCCAACCAGGTCTAACCATAGTAAGACCCTGTGGTGGTCGTGATCGATGCTAGCTAGAAAAGTTACAGTTCAAATGAGTTACAATAGAGAATGGCCTACAGTTATCAATTGCCTCCTATGTGGTTACTGCTTTCAGGAATTTACAGTGTAGTCTGGGAGACAGTCTGTCTTAATAGTTGCCCAGATCAATGGAACGTTGCAAACGGTAAATACTGCAAAGAGGTGTGTGTGTGTGTGTGTGTGTGTGTGTGTGTGTGTGTGTGTGTGTGTGTGTGTGTGATTGCCAAGCATCGAGGATCAAGCTGACTCCTCTCAAATGCTTGGCAATCACTATCAGCATGCTGTTATGCTTCTTACAGGTACATAACGTAGGGAAGACTGACCCAGTCTGTGGTTGGGTCAAAGTGAGGAAAAACTTCTAAGGAACTGATGGGGAGCGCTGGACTCTAAGGGAGAGAGAAGCTTAGCTAAGCTGTGTTGGAGAAGTGCCCTTCACAGATGCTGACACAGCAGACGTACTTGTGCTGGGGGAGCAGAAAGAGGGCCCGTCAGGCCTAGCTGTAGGGAACTGAGTGATGGCCGGTGAAGCTGGAAGTCCATGTAGCTTAGGCTCTAGCAGGCTTACTGCTCAGCACATTCTGGAGAAACCCTGGTAAGCAACAAGGGTACACTGTCATTCCACTACAATCCCAAGAAAAGAGGAACCAGGTCAGATGCTCATCAGTGGGAGAGTGTGGGAACTGCCCAGCATATCTTAGTTTGGATTCCACAGAAAACAGACAGAACGCTAGATGTGGTGGTAGGAAGACCAGGAGTTCAAGGCCAGCCTTGGCTACGAGAGACTGTCTCAACAAAGGAGGGAGAGGAGAAACTGAGAAGCCTATGATGTACAGCATAGGCTTTTGGGGTCCAAAGTGAATGAAAGGGGAATGAAGCATGGAAGGAGAGGAATTTGATGGGAAGGTATCAAAGTCCCTATTTACAGAGGCAGTTAAGACAGAATTCACCTCCTGGTTCCTAAGCAAAGGCTTGCCCCAGTACCCTACCTCCATAGCCATCAAAAACTATCCCCAATTCTTCCTTCCCACATCCCTAGTGGTTCCCATCATTCTGTCTCTAAATTTGACTAGTTTGGAGACGACAAGAACCATACTGTATCTTTTTGTGTCTGGTTTATTTTACTTACCCTATCTTCAAGATTCATCTAGTTGTAACATCTGTCAAATCTGCTTCTTTTTGAGGACGATTTAATAAATAATCGTAAGTTTTTCATTTTTATTTCATGTGCATTGGTGTTTTGCTTACATGTATGTCTATGTGAGGGTGTTGGGTCTCCAGGAACTGGAGTTACAGGCAGTTGTGAGCTGCCATGTGGGTGCTAGGAATGAAACCCAGGTCCTCTGGGTTTTTTTTTTTTTTTTTTTTTTTTTTTTGCTTGTTTGTTTTTATCTTTATTTTTTTATTTCAGGGTTGAGGTCCGAACCCAGGGCCTTGTGCTTGCTAGGCAAGCGCTCTACCACTGAACTAAATCCCCACCCACCCTCTTTTTTTTTTTTTTTCAAGACAGGGTTTCTCTGTGTAGTTTTGCGCCTTTCCTGGAACTCGCTTTGTAGACCAGGCTGGCCTCGAACTCACAGAGATCCACTTGCCTCTGCCTCCCGAGTGCTGGGATTAAAGGCATGCACCACCACCACCACCACCACCACCACCACCACCACCACCACCGCCCCCCAGGTCCTCTGGTAGAGCAGCCAGTGCTCTTAACTACTGAGCGCTCTCCAGCTCCAGTATAGTCTTAATGCATAGCTGAGGCCTCCTATCCTCCTGCCTTGGTCTCCCAAGTGCTGGTATTCCTTTTGGGGCTGAATATTCCATTGACTTGTTGGTTTGGTGGTTTTGCTGTTGTTTGGGGTTTTGTTGTTGTTGTTGTTGTGTTTGTTTTTGTTGGTTATTTCTGTTTCTGAGACAGTCTCTCCCTCTTGCTTTACTACATAGCCCAGGCTAGCCTTGAACTTACTCTGTAGCTCAGGATAGCTTTACATTTATAGTTATACTTCTACATTGGCTTCTCGAGTGCTGAAATTACAGGCATGGCCCTTTGCCTTCTGTCAACTATTCCACGGCCAGCAATACACCCCATTTTACTTTCTTATTCATCCGCTGATGGACATCTTTTGTTTTTCCACCCTTGGGGCTATTGCAAGCCATTAATATTTTCTTTCTTAGATGGATGGAGATAAATTATTTTTAGACCATACACATATGTTTATGTTCTAATTTTTTAAGCTTAGCACTTGTGATATTTTGAAATATGTGTGATCCTCATCCCAGTTTCCTGGCTTACAACTTCAAAAAGCTTTTGAATCTCCAAAGTGATTTGTCTTTTTATATGCTAATTGAGTTGAGTGCTGCCTGGCAGGCTCCTGGGAGCTTCAGAAATGGGAGCTAGGTGACCAGAATCTCTAACGCAACAGTAAAGGGTGGGAACTTCCAGCCCCACCTGCTACCTCAGGACTGGGGACCGGGGACAGTGTGCTAAAGGTAAAGTTGATCGATCACCAATGACAAGTGATTTAATCAATCGTGGGTATGCAAAATATCACCCTAAAAACCCAGGAGGGGCCTAAGGAGGGGATACAGCTGCTTGTTTAGCATGTTCAAGGCCCTAGGATCCATCCCCAGCATCACAAAACAAAGCCCAAAATGAAGTTAATAGAAAGTAGTACCCAGGCCGGGCGGTGGCGGCGCACGCCTTTAATCCCAGCACTCGGGAGGCAGAGGCAGGTGGATCTTTTGAGTGAGACGCCAGCCTTGTCTATAAATTGAGGTCCAGGACAGCCAGGGCTACACAGAGAAACCCTGTCTCAGAAAACAAAACAAAACAAATAAACAAACGAGGTCAGTCCCTTCATCTGTATTCTTTGTCCTGTTTTGTTGTTTTAACTTTGGAACATTGATTTTCTTGTCCATCTCATCCTTAGGAAAATAGAGTGCAATGGAGTGAATGTCACCCTGTGGAGAACGTCTTCCTTTGGTCATGGAGGGCTCTTGGTTTCACGGCCTCAGCAGCCTTCTTTGGAATGCTCTACATCTATGTTCTTGGTCGTGCCCTTGGTAACCAAATGGTGAATGCCGGCAAGCTTCTGTGAATTAAGAGAGGTGTAAGAACCCTGGCTTGGGG